CTAAATGCACATATTGTCATAGTAGAACTAATACATTCCTCGCTCCACTCGGATTAAAAATAAATACATATTCAAATAAAAACCTCAATTCAAATAACTTCAAAGTATTAAAATTTTAATTTCTCCATATTCAAATGTTTATCGATCGCGTTCATATAATAAAAAAGATCTAAAAGAGACGCAATATATGTTTGATATGACTTATTAAATGTAAATTCATATAAAGGTGCGAAACGCATATATATTATAGAATCGACAAAGGATTTTCACTTATTAATGTTCAACGGCTCGTCTCTCCAAAGGCGGATTTAGTTTAGTAATCACCGACTTACGTCCGTAAGTATATAGTATATAATAATATGTGGATAGGATTAAGCGACTATAGGCAATATGATCTATTTGAAAAGACGAACGTGATAACGTGGTTCGATATTATACGGATAGGTTTTTTTTTTTTCTATCAGCTATTGAAGATTTATTTTAATGTTATGTAAATTCCATCTGCTTTCCCCCATCATAATATTATTGGTATAAAGACTACTTCTAATATCGAATTACTCGACAGATTTTATTTATACAAAACCCTCATATAATAATTCCGACCGTGACGTGTTGGTTTTTTAGTTTTACGTTTGCTTTTATTCCAATTGTTTTTCTTCAAAAAAGTTTAATATCTTCTTAGTTTTTCTGTATTTTTATTATTATTTTAATTACGTATTTTATTTTGTTAATTTTAGATTCCGTGTGTAGCAAATTTGTACATATTAATCAACAAAATACAGTTTTTTTTATTTTAATGATTTTTCCCTCAGTGTGCAATTTAGATAAAAATACACATTTTGCCTTATACATAACGCGTTATAACGGGACAACAAGTTAGGTACCATTTTTAAAATAGTTTTTTTTATATATTTATTTATTTAATGAGTAAAGTTTTTAATAAAGTTTACGCCATGTGGCTTTTTTATACAATAATTTGATAACAATAACATATTACTGTGGCCACTACAATTATTACGTAAAAAAACTTCTTAACTAAATTATGGATAACACATTATGACAGATAAAGTAAATGTTAAAAAGATATAAACACTAACAGAGGTAGGACGTAAAAACATTGGCAAGAGACGTTAATTTTCTGATTAGTTCGTTTGTTAAATATTTTGAGGTACATAAAGGAATGAAAAAAAATAACTATACACCTAGAGAAGAATCCTATGAAGAATACCATAAACCTATGAAGAAACAACTTTTTTGATAAAAAAATAGATGGTAGATGGTGTATATAAATTATAAATCCTATAAAACTAAACAACTTTCTTTAGACCACTTCTAGTTGTTTAGAGTTTCCAGATATATGCGGATCCCAAATAATGACACCGTACTCTAAAATTGGATATGGAGTGATAAAACAAAATGTTCGAAAATAGACCATATTTAAAGTCGTAGGCTAATTTTTTTATAAAATCTAAGCATCTTAAAAGTTTAACAGTAAATCATATTGATATGAGGCTCGGAATCTAGCAAACTATTAAACTTAAAATCTAATTTAACTATTGTTTCAATATGCAAAATTTTCGTATGACTATCATCTGATCACATAATGATAGGATCACATAATGGGAGAATATTTTCTGGTGAAATATCAACACTTATCAAGGTTGAGAGTTAAATCCAGCGATTGAGATTGTTTCAAAAAATTGTTTAATTTATTTTGAAGTGAATCAAACGGAATCAAGATAATTAATTCGCACCAAGAGCTTCGTGTCACCTGCGAAAAAGAGTAATTTTCGACGATTTAAAATTTTATTAGCACTGTTTACAGATAATATAAAGAGAAGTGGCGATAAGTTTAATATTTGATTGCTACGATATAGGTACATCTTAAATTATTTTTAAACATATGTTTTACGTTTTTGAATACGAGACCTGAACTCCAGCTATCTTGTGTAGCTAGTATTATACTTACCTGTAATTCGTATTTTCAATTGGTTCTGATGAAAAGAAATCCACCGGGTTTGCGATAAATCAACAGGTCTTATTTTTATTTTCAATAACAATCTACAACTAATATTTACTTTAGAAACTAGAATATTATTGGCAACTATTAAAGCATGCGGTATTTCTATATCAGTTGAATTTTGATTCGTACCTGAAGATGGCCGGGTAAAACTATAGAAATACAGTGACATAAATATTGTTAATTAATAGAAACGCGCTGTAACGGAATAACATGCACAACCACAATGATATCATCACTGTTAAAAAAAATTTGAAAAAATCAAGTCGCGCACAGTTTGTCTAAAAATCAATACAACTTAAAAGTTATAACCCTTCAAAAGAGAATACTATTAACTTTGTTCAGACCCCACAGAAGATTGAACAGATGAGTTGNTAATAATTTTCTAAATTTACTAAATTAAGAAAACCATTTATAACCTCCTCTATTATATTTTCTTTGGATGGTTTACTGATTGGTGTGCACCAAGTATGCACCATGATTAAATTGGTAAAAGTCGGTAAAATTGGTACAACGTATGGCGTCGGGTCATCAAGGATATCAAATTTTTTTTTTTATTTGGTTTCAGTATATCTTTACTTAGTGGCAAGTTGAATAGTTTTTGGAATTATGAATTATTTAATTCTGTTATTATAATTGTTTTTATTTAAAAATATCATTACGTATTAAATTATAATTATTTATTCAATTTGAAAATAAAAAAATACGTCTTAGAAATCTTAAAAATGTTATATAGTAGGAACACATTTTTTTATAGATAGTAAAATGATTTCAATAATATTGGTTTTCTATAACGAGGAATATTTTAAACGATCTCTAGTGGTAAACATTAAAAATGTAGTCCGGGTGAACGGCCGATATTAGCCAATAGATGGCGGCCAAATTATTATTATTGTGTTGAACAAAATATAATGGAATAAAATATATTTTATATTTTTTATTAAACATTTTGTTTTCTTTTAAAAGGCTAATCATTCTTTTCTATATATAATAACTTAAAAGATCTAACCCTTCAAAAGAGAATATTATTAACTTTGTTCGGACCCCACAGAAGATTGAACAGATGAGTTGGTGTTTCGAAATTTTGTAACTTTAACCATCTATACATTCTGCAATTTTCATTTGATACTACAACAATACAAAAGTTATATACAAGCGTCACACAATATTATGCAAAATTACAAAACTCGCAATAGGAATGTTATTGATTATTAAGATGGATATCTTTAGACAAATATATTATTATTATTTAAATAGTCATGAGCAATAGAACTCATTGGACTCGAATGTTCCTTTCTTACACGTTAATATTTTATTTATAATAATATTAATTGTGTTGTTAAACTGTTATTCTGTGACGATTCCGTCTACAAAGATGAATATTTCAAATAATATTGCTTTTAAATTGCATTTTATACGAAAAAAACTCGTAATAATAATTTGTAATATTATATTTTTATTTATCATTTTTACAAACTTAAAAAGAATCTATACTAATATGTATATGTCTACCAATATTTCAAATTATATATTTTATAATGGTTTCTAGATTTTAATGTACGACTCATGTGCTATGTACATAATATATGTTAATTTGTACAAGATGTCAAATATACACTAGAATATTGTCTGTTTAACTCAGAACTTCAAAACATGAATAACTTTTCAAACACTAACATTTCCCCCTCCCACCAATATTAAAATTTGAAATTTTTATCCAATTTATCTAATTGTTAGTATCTCGTTAGTATTGCATCCTTTCTAAATAGTAATTTATTATGTATTTTGAATTTCTTTTTTAGGTTCCTAGCGTAGCGAAGGAGCTATTGGATTTACTAACATGTTTATTTATTTTTTTTCTTTATTCTATTCTGTAGATAACTTTTTTTTTCTTAATTAACTTGCTCCAAATTTTAATGTGTATCAACTTTTCTGAAAGCTTAATTTTTCTAAATGGTACTTTAAAGAGGTAATTTTTTGATGTTCAACGCCATTTTTTTAAATAAAAACACTTAAGTGGAAAAAAACGTAAGAAAACATAATGTTAAGTTAAGACAAATTACGGCACTTCAAATTATGTATTACCGAACTGTGCTCGAAATTGTCTTTCGTCAGAAATGGTTAATCGTTGCTTGCAAATATAAATGAAATAACCTCTTATATCCCATATTTCCCACTACCCACCTACAAAAGTGGCAAAACTCATCCTCTATATCAGTTTTTTTTTTTATTATGTATTCTTAATACTTTTTAAAAGTTTTAAACCCATATCTGACCATAGTGTAAAACACAACATCCGATATAATTCAGAAACACAAATTTAAATTAAAATGTTAAATTTTATTTAAAAATAAATAAAAGAAATGTAACAAAATAATATATTTTTTATTGTTTAACTGATTGTAAGCTATAATAGTTATAAATGATAAACTCTTTAAATTTTTTATTTATTGAATTACAATAATTTAAACAGCATTTAAATAATACAATTTTCAAATTGTATAATTTAATATTTGGATATAGAGAATATAATTATTAATTTTTGAATACAATAGCGTAGCGTTCTTATGATTTTACGACTTATTTATTAGTATACATTATTCAATACAATACTAAGGTACATAATTTATCTAGTGAATTTAGCTATGTTGAAAAAAAATTTTTCATAATTCCATAATTAAATTATTAAATTATAACAAATTAAAATACATTTAATGTTAATTATTTTTGTTATAAGTTTATAACTAAATAATTAAACCATAGTGATTTTANAATAGCGTAGCGTCCTTATGATTTTACGACTTCTTTATTAGTAGACATTATTCAATACAATACTAAGGTATATAATTTATCTAGTGAATTTAGCTATGTTGAAAAAAAATTTTTCATAATTCCAAAATTAAATTATGGATTTCTGAACATAACAAATTAAAATACATTTAATGTTAATTATTTTTGTTATAAGTTTATAACTAAATAATTAAACCATAGTGTTTTCAATATCCATGGTTTCTAAATCGGGACTTATTTCTAAATTTGGTACTGGCTGATATTTCGGAACATTTTTGGGACGAGATGTAATCATATTATTAAGAATTTCTCGAGATAAAATCAAATGAAAAGAAGACGATTCAACTTTAATTATATTAATCCATAACAAATAAATGGAGTTAACCATTACATTGTGTATATGCCTATTATCAATAATATCTTGGAAAAATTTGTGGAAATTTGAAATGTAATTTTTAGCGATTTGTTTTAGACTTTCTATCCGGATCCAAATCTCTGGCAAAGTTGTTTCTGAAACCAAAATTCCTTGAATTGGAATGTAGGCTTCCATGTTCATATAATTAATTGAAATTTCGTATAATTTTACGAAACATTTTTCGTAAAGAGCTATTAATTTATCATCGTTTGCTATTGTAGTATTTTGGATTACGCGTTCTTCGTAATNATATTTTAAAACTCCTTTGATATTCTAACCCTGAAATTTCCATTAGCTTTCTTATGTGTATAGCCATATTAGAGCAGTATTGAACATAATTAATTCTAGTTTTTTTATCATTAAATAAATCCGACGCTCTTACATGATTGCATTGTTGTATGAATGATGCAATTAATCGGACGATAGCCGCCGCTACAAAATACAAAATTTTGTTGCTGATATCAATTGATTTATTTATTCTTTTCAATCCAATAATTTCGACGTCGTCGTCTGTTGATTTTAACTTTTTTAACAGCTTAGCCTTATCATTGTTCCAGCTTGAATTGTTTTTTTCAAAATCCCATCGAAGTGTATCAACATTTTTATTGGTAAATTTAACATCACTGTACAACCATTTTGAAGGATAATATTTTTTATATTTTGAATATTTCAAGATACGCGAGTTCAAATCAAGTAAAAACGCTATTTGAATTAAATTTAAATACATATTTGACACGTAATTACTACGTATAGGGTTATCAATTGTTATCAGAGTTAATTCACGTTGCCAACGTCTATACAATTTAATATTATTGTATTTGTGTTTAGTTGTTATTTTTTCTAAAGGTATATTATGTGTTGTTAATATTTTTCTACCTCTATTGCATATTTTACAAACACGTTTTAATAGTCTATCTATAAACTCAGTTTCAGCCAAAAATATTTCTGTGTTTTTATAT